GCACGTCTGTATGATCAATGATAAAGAGTGCTGGGAAAACGGATATAGAAATCACGACATGGTGAGGTAATTTGATAAAGAAAATAAACATTAATATTACTGCGTTGGAGCTTAAATAAACTTTATAAAGCAACAACAACATTACGCACGCATATTAATACAGCTGTTTTGTGTCAGTTAAATCTGTTGACTGTTGAAATTCAAAAATTTTAACCCAGCTAGTTGAGTTAGTAAACAAATAACCCAATAAAGGTTAAAAATAATCCAACAAAGCACCAAATATTTAACCCAATGATTGAGTATATCAATAAATAACCTAATAAAGGTTAAAAATAACCCAACAAACACCAAACATTTTTAATTCAACCATTGGGTTAAATAAATAACATTTTTTAGAGTGCATATATTATATATTTATTTACTTTTAAATTACTTTTTCCCCATATGAGGGAAAAGTATAATGAAAAAAATAAGCAAAAAGACAATTCAAGGCAGCAATACACTTCAAGTCTTCATTACAAATATATTGAAGACTTAAGATTTAAGAGTCGCCGATATCTAAAAACACAACCTGTGCAGAAGTAACAAAGACACTAACGGACCCCCGATGGCCCTGGCACTCTTCTCTGATCCTCCTCTCACACAACACTCATCCTTTTACTCATCTGTCTGGGTCTGCTCTCGACATGTCCCAGGAAGTGACATAATAGCCCAGCCATCCATCCCGCTAGACTTCTGTCTGCAGATCCATTGGCCTGTCAGGAGCCCACAGTGTTTTAAGCCAGACCTCCTCGAGCCTGGGGTTGCCGGGTTCAATCAGTCTTGTGGATGTGGATGCTAAAAAACAGCAAATAACAGCGTCATGAGAGAGCAGCCTCAGACAGTCAGGACACAAAATGTCAAACACACTCCTTCAGAAAAGTTGGTGATGGGCCTAGAGCAGGGATGGGCAAACTTGATCCTTGAGGGCCAGTGTCCCTGCAGAGTTGTGTTCCAACACTAGTCAAACACACCTGAACATGCTAATCAGTGTCTTTAAGATCACAAGAAATCTATAAGCAGGTGTGTTTGATTAGGGTTGGAGCTAAACTGTGCAGGACACCGGCCCTCCAGGACTGAGTTTGCCCACCCCTGGCCTAGAGGAAGAAACTCATGAAATGTGCAGAAAAAAGTAGTTAGAGAAAATTCAAGTTTGAAAAGTTGCAAGTTGTAATTCATCATGGAGTCACCACAGCGGAATGGACCAACTTATCCGGCATATGTTTACACAGCTGGAACCCAGTAATGGGAAACATTCATACACACTAATTCACACACATATAATATGGCCAATTTAGTTTATTCAATTCACCTAGTGCATGTATTTTGGACTTTGGCGAAACCCACACCAAGAGAGCATGTAAACTCCACACAGAAATGCCAAATGGCCCAGCTGGGACTTGAAGGATCAGCCTTCTTGCCGTGAAGCGACAATGCTAACCTGAGCCACCGTATCGCCCCTATCTTCAATGGGTTTTTAAAAATGTAGGAATATTACACGACAACATGAAACGTTCGTTGATTTTAACTGACCAGTTTTGGTTGCTTTTAATGTTGAAAGTCGCGATAGTGTTTTTTTACAAAACGGTAAAACGTCATGGTTAAGATGGATGGCCACTTGAGATAATTAAATATTTGACGAGACACCAATAGCCTAAAAAACGAGTTACACGATAATATGAAACGTTTGTAATTTTTTAAAATACAATTTTCAGTTGTTTTAACTTTGGAAGTCGCTATATCTGTTTACAAAACGTACATGAGGATGAACAGCCACTTGATGATCTTTAACCTAGTAGAAGAAAATCACGTTCAATAAGATTTTTAAAAGAAACCGAGTAAAATTAAACGTTTGTTGGTTTTAAATGACCCGTTTCGGTTGTTTTTAATGTTGGATTTCGAGATAGTGTTGTTTATTTACAAAACAGTTAACTTAAGCGGCTAAGATATCGGTCGGTCACTATAATATTTGACCTCCAAATGGTTAAAAAAAAAGTGTTACACGATAAGATTAAATGTTTGTTGGTTTTTACATGACAAATTTCTGTTGTTTCAGCTTTGGTCGTGATGATATTATTTGTTTACAAAACTTACGTGAGGATGCAAAGCCACGTGAAGATCTTTGGCTAACTTTGAAGAAAACCACCCAACAGTTAACGTTATTGGATTTAAAAAAAAACTTAGTATACGGTAAAATAAAACTAAACGTTTGTTGGTTTTAATTGACCTGTTTGAACTGTTTTAACCTCAGAATAGGATTGTAACGAATACCCGAGCTACGAACTCAGGAAAAAAAGTAGCAAGGGCCTGCATGATCATCAGCAAGGTTGGATTGTGTCATTCGCTATTGGTGGATGATGTGAGTGACAGCTAGTCCCCATGAAATATAGCCTAAGTAACACATTAAAAGTTATATTTCTGATTAATGATAGATAAACAAATGAATAAAAATCAATTAATCAACGACGTGTGCGGATCGATAAACTTAGCATCAAACACTATACGAAAACAAAAAGCTACACATTGTGATTGTATGGCGACTAATATAGGCTAATTGAGTTTTATTTAACACTTCTTCATCTGTTGGATAGTCTTTAAATGAATACATTTAAAATCTTTAAATTCAAAATTACTCACAAATAAGGGAACCTTCACATATTTTACAGTACCATGTTAAAGAGGTGGCACATGCTGCCATCTAATGATTTTGTATCGCTTGTATTGTGTGAAGTCAATGAAAATAAAATGTGTATAGGGCGTCCTCTACTGAGCACACTTGGTATTGACAATCCCACAACTGAACGCGCTCCATTTGCCTTACACAGCATTTTTTTAAGTATTTAAACATTAACATACTTCCTTTTTTTAATTTCATAAGTTTCAAGAACTGCGTGTTAGTTCATGAAAACAGAAGAGAAAGAATTTCAGAAAGAAATTCACTTTACATTTGAGTTTATTTGTCAAATTTAATGTTGAGTTTACATTAATCAGGGTTGGCCAAAAATTTAAATGTATTTTAAAATAAGAGACCAAATACTTCAACTTTAGATGTATCAAAAAACCTTCAAAATACAGAAGCAGCAAATGTATCAAAATAAAAAAGTGTTTTTTTGAAAATACTACAAAATACTTTTTACAATTTTGTTTCTCAAACCTTCTTTCGACAAGCCTATTGGATCAACCCCTTCACCATTAAACTGATTTAGTGAAACAAACAAAACATGATAACAAAAGCTTTTCTCTGAGCAAGTTTAAGTCAGCTTCTCTCCATCTCATTCACCTCTACTGTGCAAGAGAAAGTACTCATAAAAATGTCACTCTCTTTGATTTTAGTATAGATTTTGTACAAATTTCATACAGAAAGTCCAGTCTTGAAGAGGATTTCTTTGATCATTGTAAAAACCATTAAATGCAAATAATGAGTTGGAATATAGTACTATACCTCTTAAAAGTTTTTTATATTTATACATGTTTATATATTATATTTTATAGTTTTGCAATTGAAATCTTTGCTCAATGTAAAATCTCCACTTTAATCATTTCCATAAATCATGTTTTTATTTATTTATTTATTTATTTTGCAATTGTACTCCTCAATACACAATATAAACATGATATCTCCAAAAAAAATTTGCTATCTGTTTTCATTGCCATGAAAACTCAGTTGGGAGTTTTTGACCAGTCTGTAGATTGAAGTATTATTATGTTTGTCTCATACTGATTAACTATGTCAAGGTTTGTATTTAACTATAAAGAGCACCTGCAGATCAGCTACTGGCATTTGAAAAAGCCAACAATGTTTTGTAGGTATCGCCACTGTGGGACTTTTATGTTGTTTGTCTTATTTGACTTGCTCCCGAATTTACCCCTGCTATTTGTCTGATACTTTCTTTATATGTATTGCATAATTTCCATCTATACTCCAAGCATTGATCAACTTCTTCAATATTATTTTTCTAGTCTGATCTCAAGCCTTGGCAAGAAAGCACCAATCAAAGGCCACATTTTTATGATGTCATCATCTTCTTACAAAGTATTTTACAGTATTTTAAATTAACCTAAGTACAAGACACTAACATATTTTGATACAAGATATGAACCCATTTTCTTAAACCCCATCTTATACAAATTAGATACTATTTTGTATTTAAAATATGTATTTGAAATAAATGTATCATAAATACTGCCCCCACCCCTGCTTGTAATAATAATATTTTATCAATTTAAATACTTTCAATCTATTTTGATGCATCATTGGAAGTTTTTAAAAAATTAATGTCATTTTAATGTGCAATACATAACATTACAATCTATACATCTTATAATCCGAGTTCTTAGTCTATCATCATTAGTAGAGTCCAAATACCTTATCTAGAAACATTTAAATTGTTTTTAATTGCTCAATTTCTTTAATGCATTTGCATCCATACATTCGTGTTAATTAAAATGAATTATCCAACACTTTTTGGGAATTTCCTCATTCATTTACATCACACCAAAAAAAGTTTGTAGTGGAGCACAAGACCATTTATATTACATAAACGCTGGTTTTGTGCACCATCTAGTGACAAAAGTTGATTCTACACAGCTTTTACAGACAGTTCAAATTTGAACAAACAGCAAAAATAGTATTGATTTTGCAATCCTCAAACCTGGAATTCATAATCAGATCTTCAGAACTGCTTGGGTGGTTGTAACACTGAAAATGGTTTTTATTTTTAACATAATTACACAGTGATGCCATAATCAATTCAACATTAGAACACACAAATTGCACTTTTACCCAACACACCCCTGCTCCACCAAACACACTCCTTTTGTTTATCAGGTGACAACGGCAGCCACACCAGACCCATCCTGAGGTGTGACAGCCATCATCCCACCCGTGGAGTTAAAAGTGGATTCAGCAGCATCAGACCTGTTTTACCTGTACAGTCAGCCGAACACAAACTCATGATACTGGTATGTGCGAAGAGAATGTTGTTCTGCCATTCTTATGCATGCATGAGTACTGACTAATGCATACGATAAACAATACAGCTTAAAGCTGAGCATATACATGATTGCTCTGCAAAACACTTTTTTTGTGAGGTTCCACGCCTTCATTTGTAATCTGAAACATCATGCTAATGTTACATTCACTGATGATTCACAGATAGTTCATGGCTTGTTTGTTTCTTAAGAAAAGTAAATGTCTCCTTATTTTTCTGAGGTAGTTCCTTAGAAATCACACAGTGAAATCTGCAGATTTTCAGATTTCAGGGAAGGAGTTTGAAAGCTCTCTTAGTCTGTGAGTGGACACGGTAGATGACAGGTTGTTTTCATCTCTCACATGTGCAAGCAGGCTAATGACGATAAGTCGAAGACAGTCTCGAAGTTCCCTCAAGTCTCTGTCCGAGCGAGAACCACCTTCCGCAACAGCCATTCTCAAGCATATGTTCTTCAGATCAACACTGTCCTGAAAGAGAGAAAGGGGGAAATAGGTATAATTTAAAAACAGCCTATAAATATAATCACAAAGCGATATTTGTCGACACTTGACTGAAATGTTATTATAAACTTAAAAACATCAAGTAAACCAAAAGACATCCAAAAGTACTCTGCATTTCTTCGACAAAAACAGATTGTGTTGGGGTCTACAATGTTCCTCACGCGGTTATTATGTGAATAACATTGACACCAGTTTAATTCAATTTAATTCATTGACATACAAACATACAAAATAATCTCTTTTTTAATGATCAAGCACATGTACGTATTTGAAAGATACATTACTTGTAATCTGATAGTAGCATCTAGTTACAAGTAATTTAAAAGTAATCCAGAAGTACTCAGAATACATTTCATGGAAATAAATCGAACAGATTACTCCAGTAGGCTACAGATGTATTTTTTAAATAATAATACAGATATATTATACATATTAATGTATCATATACACTCATTTATCGATTTTAATTGTCGAATTAATCTGGTCATTGAAAGAAAGGGCCAACACGCACGTGGAAACTCCTACTGTTTAAAAAGCATCCCTGGATGCACCTGCAAAGCTCCAATATAGACAAAAGAGGTCTTCTTTATCTTCCACGACCTTATTTGTATCGTTGTATTGCTTTCAATCACAATAAAATAAAGTCCTTGTCAATCCAGCATATGTAACAAGAGGTATCGTTTAACAAGCGAGTCGTCATAGCACACATTACACTAAATACTGCAGCAGAAAGAGTCGATAAACACCAAATCGTCTCACCTTACGCTTGAGCAAACTCTTCCCGTAAGAGCCGTCTTTAATGAAGTCTTCTTCGATGGATATGAGCTGTGTCAGTATCTCGAGCAGTCGCGAAAGGCAGTTTTCCCGTGCTCTCTCCGCGATCGTCTTCAGCCTGCGGGGCTCCTTCATCACATCGCCCGGGCGAGCGGCCACTTTACCGGCCGCCAAAGCACCCGGACACCGGCCCTCTCCCTCTCTATTACTGCCCGTCCCGTGATCTCGCAGTTCATTTAGGATGTTTAAAGCATCGATCTGATGTGTTAGAGAGCAGAGCCCCATGTCTGTTACCTGGTCGAGGACGGACTGACCTGCAGTCTTGAGCACAGGCGCAGTTCTCAGATGATAGGCAGATGCGAGGCACAGTTGGTGTAAACAACAACGTGACAAATGACCGTCTTTAAGTGTTTTCTGCTTGGACAGACGGTTTGTGTAACGACTTCCCCATTGTTTGTGTTCGGACTAGATGAACACTTGCTTGCACATGCAAATGTGACTTGATAGTCCTGCCTTCTTCATCCAATGCATACAGAGATCGGTTAACTGGGGGTGGGGGGAGTTATAACTGCAGTATATGTGCGTTATAAAGTTTCATTTACCTCATAGATGTGGTTATTTAGGTACAAAGTGTATATTACTTCCCAGTATTGGGTTACAGCAGAAAGGGCATCCGCTGTGTAAAACATATGATGGATAAGCTGGCGGTTCATTCCGCTGTGTTGCGACCTCTGATAAATAAAGGCACTAAGCTGAAGGAAAATGAATGAATGAAAGTCTATATTATTTTACTTACCTTAACCCAATCCTCATAGACAACTGGTTCGTGAAAAAAACATCAGCACCTGTATACCGATTCAAAACGTTACTTGTACTTAGTAAATAGATTAAGTAATCTAAAAGTAATCCACCATTATTCAGAAAACATTTTCTCAAAAGAAAAATCGAACAGTTTAATTACTTGTAACACATATTTTTTTTATACTTTAACATCTATAGCCAATCCTAGTTCTATTTTAGAAAGATCTATCGACACATTTAAAAAAAAAAACAAATAAGTAATCTAACTATAAGTAATCTAAATGTAATGCACCAGAATTTGTTTCCTGAAAAGAAAAAAAAGAAAAAATAAATCGAACAAATTAAAATACCAAATACACATTATATTACATAATTTTACCTTAATCCATACTCTAACTCCAATTCCTCACAGAAAATTTTACAAAATGTTCAATTATAAAAATAGCTAAAAATTATGACAATTGTATAATATAAACTATAATAAATTAGCTCACTGCAAAAAAATGTTTTTAGGTTATTGTAACTTATTTAAATAAGTTTATCATGTTTTAACTTAATTTTATAAGTTACGCAAGTCCGTTTACCATAATATAAGTTCAGTGAACTCATAAGGTAAATTTTATTCAGCTTAAAAATTTAAGGCAACCAGGATTTTTTTTACAGGTGTATGATTTAAATAAAATAAAAACAGTATAATTTTAAACCGTTTGATTTGTGATGATATATTAAATGTCCTCAAAGCACGTCATTCACATTTAATACTCATGTATCTTAACATGTGTCCTTTTTAACTACTCTATCTGGATTATGGATTACATTATATATCGTATTACAAATGGATTACAATTTAAATACTTAATTTAAAATTTAAGTTAAATTGGTGGTAAAAAAATGTAACCAGCTTATACCTTATACCTTTTGCAGGTTGGTATAGAGGTTTTAGGTCCTTCTACATCATGAGACCAAACTCATTAACAGCCAAACAACAGCATTAAATCCAGCCTTGATCAGTTGGCTGTTATTTTTTGTAACATATAAAACAACCAAAAGAAGAAGAAAAACAGCTTAGCGTGACAGGGTGAAACCAATTTCACAATGAGATCACACTGATATTTTAAACCCAGTGCTCACGTTGCAACATAAAATCTGATCAAATCTGATATATTTTAGCTGAAATGAAAGTTCCAAGACAGCAATGCCATTGCATTAACTCGTGTCAAAAGTGAACACACAATTACTACTTTTAGATTTGAAGAGTCATCGAATTTAACACCAAAAATTATTATTCTACCCAGAAATATTTTTTATCTTATTTTAGTCATTCATTTATAAGCCTAAACAGATAATAAAACATAAAAATGGTCAACCATGTGAAAACATTTGAATTATTTGTAAATATCTTGTGCAGCCTCATATTCCTGTTATTATAAGCGAGATGAATTGTATTCAGTGTTTTCAGTGCGAATGCAGCTATGGCTACATTTATTTCATAAAGATGAATAGGCTACTGGGTTATTCATGCAATGAAATGAAACAACTCCAGTTCCAATCATACACTGAATGCTTTAATTTATCTGAAAGAAAATACAAAACAAATTGTGAACTTAACAGACTAAATTTCTAGTTCTATGCAACCTCTGCTCACATACTGCTTTTTGAGGAGGATTTAACTCAAACGCAAGTCAGAAACACTCACTATGACATCTCGCATCTTTTCCCAAAGCCCGCTATTTAGTCTGTACTCTACAATCTCAATCCTGTCAGTCATACGCATACAGTAGCAACATTTATTACAAGAAGAGGGAATTCTGGCCTCAGATCAGGTGTCACATTCATTATTGGATTAGAGTTCAAGAACTGATCTTGGCTCAGAGTCCTACCCTGTCAACAGTGGTCTTGACAACAGATCAGCAAGCGACTCCCAAACACCGCCCATTTATTAGAAATGGATCACTCATGCTGAATTATTCAGAATAAATTAATCACCAGGTTAAATGAAAAAATAAAAACTCTGTGGCAAGGAAATGAATAGATTCAGTCTTAACTGGTGAAAATTAAAGATACTAAAGTTAAGGCTGATTTATACTTTTGTGTCGAGTGATCGGCGTGACCCAAATGCGGTGCATTTATACCCCATTTACACTACGAGCGTCTGGCAGCAGCAAAGCGATTATTCATTTAAATTTTGAGTGAGCAACTTCCAGCGACCTCCATCTACGCTAGCGACAGCAACCGTTGGCTACCAGGTGGAGATATCTAGTACCGCGACAAAGTTGAAAATCCAGCCTCATTCAACCTGAGTGACTTGCAGCGGCAAAGTGTCAAGTAACCGTTCAGTTCAATAGAAAGTAAGCATTGACCGTTGGTGACTAGGTAGGCGCGTCAAGCTATGCGACACAGTTGAGAATCCTTCAACTTTATGCAATTATGCAAGCAACTTTCTTGAGCGACAGCCAATAGGAGCACCAGTACAGCTCATGTGATCTTCTCTTAGCTCGCTCAGAGACTGGTTGTATTCGTGCTGTATATACCCTCACAGATTTGTATTTGCAGCAGGTCCCTACCTAAAGCGACAGGTAGCTACAAAGTCACTACCAGTGTGAATAAGGCATCATTCACATTACGAGTGACTCGCAGTGGCAAAGTGACCGCTTATTTAAATTGAGGGTGAGCGACTTCCGCTGACCTCCCTTTATGCGAGCAACAGCAACCGTTGGCGACGAGGAGGGTGTGTCCAGTGACGAGACAAAGTTGAGAATCTTTCAACCCTTTGCAAATGAAGATTGACTTTCTTGATCGACAGCCAGTAGGAGCATTTGCAGAGCTCACATGATCTTTCAGCTCGCCCAGAGGCCGCCCACCTGGTCGCCAACGGTCGATGTAGACGGAGGTCACCGGAAGTCGCTCACTCCCTGTTGAACTGAATGGTTGCTTGTTGCTTTGATGCTGCGAGTCGCTTGTAGTGTGAATTATGTTACTTCCAGACACTATTGTCTTGCTCTGCAATAACGCTTCTGAAACGCTGGTTGGCAGCAGATGTTTTTGTTCCTCTATGTTGAGTTACTATCGGAACGCAACAAGTAATTAAAACTTGCTCATTCAGAGGCGGGAACTGGAGGATGTGCAACAACTTTAATCATAAAATAAATACAGAACAAAAGTTTTCATCTGGAGCTTTTTCAAGGGATTCGACAATTCATTCACTTCATCGGCTCGCGGCTTTCAGCACCCGCCACACTCGTCACATCTACCAAGCAATCACAGAAATAGTACTACGTGGTTACATTTTTTGAGAGGTGTGGGTCAGCCACGGCGAGGGCTATGCGACCACGTGAAGGCTACGCATACGAGTGAGCTTGACGCAGAAGTATAAATTAGCCTTTAGTTTACCCAAAAATGTACATTATGTTATTAATTACTCATCCTCTTGTCATTCCCATCCCCTAAGATCTTCGTTGATCACACTGATATATTTTAAATGAAATCTGAGAGCTCTCTTATCCTCCGTAGACAGCAATGTTCCCAATTTAAAGTCCCCCAAAAAACCCAAAACATCCTCAAAACACACTATGGCTGCATTTACACTGCAGATCTCGATAATCAATTCAGATTTTGTAACTGTACGATTTTTTTGATGACTGGCTTGCATCATGTTTTAAAAGTGATTCGTATCCGATTGTCTGCATTTACACAGTACAGGGCAAAGGTAAAATGACCAAAAAAAAAAAAAGAGCAGGCGCTGACTAACAGCTGATAATAAAAGAGTGCTCTTTTCTCCGTTCCTGTATTTAATCTGTTCACAGGATTTCATTTTTTAAAATTCTTTTTGACAAGTTGTTTTACTATAGTTAATGACATTAAAGTTCTCAAGTTCACATCTTAGGAATTATTTTAGGAATTTTTGTGGGTATTTTTCTGATATTTAAAGTATAGTTGGAACATTTGCTACCAACAGATTGAATTTAAAGTATTTTATTTTGTGTTTAGATGATGAAGGAAAGTTTCAGGGTTTCAGAATGAGGGAAAGTATTTAACAACATATTTTATTTTTGGGTGAACTAACCATTTAACCTACTATTCATCCAACCAATATTTTAATCAAGTAAACTTTGGTATTCTCCCGACCTTATAAACCAGACTAGTTGCCCTGGTGTCTTACAGATCTTGCAAATTCCCAAACTTAAATCCTCATATGAATATTGTGCATCTGAAACACACAGACTGCATCTGTAATCTACACCACATGAATGCCAGTAGAAGATGACATGAAGATCAGATAAAAATTGCACAATACATGAGAAACCCAATCACTCCGGACTGCCCGACTACATACAAGAAGCTACACTGTTCTGCTCCGTTAAGGCTTGCACGGGTCCTTTCCAATTTCGCCATTCAAAAAAAGCAAAGATGCACATTGAAAACAATGAGGGAAGACATCAGAAAGAGAGAAATAACTTTAAACGAATGAAGCGCATTCATCTAATTCGAATGGGTTTGGGTCAAGAAGAAACTTCTAGAGTTTATTTACAAACCATTAGTGTCAGTGGTTTACACTAAAAGGGGTTTCACAATCTTCGTTTATTGACAGAACAGATTGTTGTCTTCTTGGTCTTTCGGCTACTCTCTCTTTATCTCACACCCTATGTTTCCAGTTACACATGGCTAGATATGGGCAGTTGAATCATGGTCCATGGGTGTTTCATTTAGCTGCAAACTAACTAAAGAGATGCTCTATGTGGACAGGAGTAGAAAACATCGCTTATTCATCTACATGGTAATGCAATGGTGACAGAGTGGGATAAGACACCATTGTGAAAAGGTCTCGAAAATGGGAGAAAAGTTACAGAAGACATGCTTTTCCTCAGAAACTCCGCTCAGTCCATTTCTATTGCCGTCGCATAACAGTTTTCAGCTGACCAATAGACCCATTGGTGATCTACAGCGGTTGATTTGTTAGGTAGGGGGCCGCCTTTTCTCTGACCAGCTGGGCTGTTTGTCTTCCTCAACCGCCCGTGATGTGAAATTCTGATCTTAGAAAAATCAGTCCAGGTGACTCAAGTGTGGCGATCCAAACTGTGAAAGGGAGGATTTGATATTGTAGATGCAAAGAACGAAGTGTTACAAAGCACTTCCGGAGATGATAAATACTAATGAAGAACTAAGACAAGATGTGAGCTTGTTTGGTTAAAAGAGGGCGGGGCTTATGTCATTAAAGGGGCGGGGTTAAAAAGGAGGGAAACGTGTCACATCGATCCGCAACTGAAAGTGCTTCCTCTCCTCTATTTCCCATTTAGTTTTGTTCATAAAATTATTTGTACGTTTACAGACTAGCATATTAAGTTATATCTATAGTTATATCCCTATATACCTCCCAATGCTGCATTGAAGAGATGTTAATAATTCATTCATTTTTTTAAATTACATTTTTGTTTTGTAAAAAGAAAGATAACTGCACACAGGGCAGCTCTGTGCCTGAGGCTGGACTGCAGGGTGAGCATTACAGCATTACAGTGGCCACACGGTGTCGATAGGGTGAAAATGTTGATTAGTTTTCCTTCTTGGCCTCTACGTTGCCGTAGCTGGATCCCGTCTTCTTTACTTCGGTTACTCCGATGAGCCGGCGAACTGCTACAGAAGCTGCAGAGAGAAACACAGTGACAGGGATTGAGAATTATGTAGTGCAAGCAGTTTAACTTAATGGACATTTTGCAAAAACATCAGTGTAAAGGACTTTCATATAAAAATGTATTTAGGCCCAATCCTAATTCTACCACTGAGCCCTTCCCCTTACCACTCATTTTGTGCATTCACATGAAGGGGTAGAAGTGTCTCAATTCTCTTTATCTTGAAGGCGTACGGCTAAGGGGAAGGGCTAGATAGCCCTTGAAACAGAGATTTTTCAAGACGACACTCGAAACCAATGGGTTTCCCAGAATACACCAGCTACACCAGTAGCATGGCTGCACACGGAAGTCAGGAGATCCACAAATTAGTATTTACTGGCATTATTACAAATTTTTATAACAAACAAGCACTTGTTTTAATACATTTATAACAGCGTTGTGTTTACCGTCATGCTTCTTAAAAAAAACACTAAAATTAAAACAGCTAAATTCCGCGATCTATATTCCCGAATAATAACTCCTGTACAGCAGTCCCACACCATTCTGACACTCGATGACACTGGAATATCCTGTCAGAAAAGTCTAGTGGCTGAGAATGAGCTTTCTACAGTGTCTGCTATAATGTTAGTGTTGTTTTGGTGTTTTACATTGATGAATATGGCCACTGTGTAAATGCAGAGTACAGTTATGAGCTTATTGCCACGTTAGATCGATATTAAAACATAATATATGCCTTCAGTAATTTCCTGAAGATAAATACCAAAAAATAACACAACTGGAATCACTACAGCAGTCAGGATCGTCTGATCTCATTTCAAGCAAGAGATCGTGATGACACATGATGACATGTGCAGGTGTTGTAGTGCTGTCCCATTTCTTAGGGGTAAATTTTGAAGCCCTTCCCCTTCACACTCTGTTTCAAGGGCTAAGGGAAAGAGTACAAAAATAGAATTGGGATTTGGGCCTAACTCTTCCATTCTCTTAATTTTACTTCACTGCATAACAAATTAAGATTTTTTTTGTTGTTGCTTTTTTTCATTTTAATTAAATTAAACAAATTAGTCCCTTTATTTATCAGGGGTCGCCACAGCGGAATAAACTGCCAACTTATCCAGCAAATGTTTTTTTACACAGCAGATGCCCTTCCAGCTGCGACCCAATACTGGGAAACATCCATACACACTCATTCACACACATACACTACGGCCAATTCAGTTTATTCAATTCACCTGTACCGCATGTCTTTGAACTGTGGGGGAACATGCAAACTCCAAACCAAAATGCCAACTGACCCAGGCGGGACTCAAACCGGCAACCTCCTTGCTGTGAGGCAACAGTGCTAACCACTGAGCCACCATGTCGCCCACATTTTAATTTGTTACAATAAAATGTAAAAATTCTTTTGAAGGGCTACAAACCATTTAATTAGTTAAAAATGATGCTGAAGTAGCAATGCATAAATTCTGTTTAGCTGATATCAGATTAAAATTTCAATATAAAATGTACATGCACAAACAGGCATCCAGATAAGCACACCAGTATCGTTGTATGTGACGGAGAATCACAAAAATACAACATCTAAAATTTCTAAATTCTTCTGGTATTTTGTTGTCTGAATAGCAATAAACATGGCACCTTTTGGTAATTTTGCTACTTTTTTGGGGGTTACTTCTTTTAAATTTGCAATAATGTCACATGTCATCAGTATATAGAATTAAATAACTACAAATCAAAAATACAGAGAAAATGAGACTTTTCCACAGCGATGTTTACATATACAGCTGGTAAAATAAGTATTGAACACGCCATTTTTCCTGGGAATAATATTTCTAAAGGAGCTGTTGACAAGGAATTGAACCAGATTTAGGTAAAAACCCAAACAATACAAACATAAAAATAAGACAAACAAAACAAAATGTGAAAAATTTGTTTTGTAACAACAATGGAATGACACAAGGTGAACTACTGAAATGTAATTATTACTTAAACAAAGGCTTTTTTGGTCATGATGGCTTAAAGATGGCTCTAATATGGAGAATGAAGTCACATGAATTGCTCAGGTGTAAGTTTTTCATAGACTTCAACAGAGTGGAAAATCTGTATTTTTTTATTGGATTCAAGTCAGGTGATTGGCTAAGCCATTCTACAGCTTGATTTTCTTTCTCTGAAAGCATTTGAGAGTTTCCTTGGCTGTGTTTTGGATCATTGTCTTGCTGAAATGTCCACTCTGGTTTCATCCTCATCATCCTGCTAATGTAGATGCTGAACTGAAGCAGCTGATTTTCATTTACAATGATGAAGGGCAAGACGTTGCTGAAAAACTACTGAGAGATTTCAGCTGCTGTCTGGGCTTTCACTGCCTTTCTACACCTCCATTTCTTCATGTGTTCAATACTTTTTCTCTGTGTCATTTCATTTTTTTTTACACATAACTTAATTTGTAAACTAATTAGATTTGTTTTCTTTGCATATATAGATTTCTTTGGTTGTTGCCAACATCCGGGGAAAATTTAAAGTCAACTGCACCTTTAAAAATATGTTTTCTGAGACAAATGGTGATGCGTTCAATACTTATTTTCCCCGCTGTATATGGTATATATAATTTACATATACATAATAGTGAGTTCAATTACCTAAATACACAAAGTTAACACTGACACATATCAACCAATCTCCAACCGCTTTAGGGCAGAAATGATTTAAATTCAGATTATAGTGACATCTACATGCCTGGAAGAACATTCATTTGATTGACAGAAACTGATGTAGAGAAAATCTCCCTGTAGTAGTTCACAGGATTGATTTGGAGTAAATAACACAAACTTGAAATAATTCTGAAATCACAACTGACCGACAATGAGGAAGATCATGAAGCCGATGATGAGGAGGGGAGAGCCGCTGACAAACACATCCCAGGCAAAGTTAATAAGCGGGGAAAGCAGGATAGTAGCCCAGAACAGAAAGTTCAGCAGGGTCCAAACGCGACGTTTGGGTATGATTGTTGGGCCGGGATAACAGCCCTCCTTCTCATAGTACTCTTGTAATGCATCCTAGAAGGACAGAATTGTGGGATTAATTGTAGCTCACACCAATATTATAAATCAGATTCATTGTTTATTTAACACAACTGTTCTCAAGACTAAGACCACATCCCAATTTGCAAACCATCCATCCTAGACTGGATTAAATAAAAATTGTGTCCCAATTCGTAATGTGTTTAAATGAGATGAGTACTCCAAAGTTTCCTGCATTCTCTACATTTTTACATATGATTTGAAGTGCAGATATGTGCACAATGGCTAATATTACCCACAACATGCTGCCCATTGTTCAAGGATTTGATTAGTACTACAAAATAATTGTTGTCCCAATTTGAATATTTTCGAAATAATATAATTAGTATCCTCAAATAATATGTTTCTGGTAGATTTCTGGTTCAATTTATGGTAGATGTTTAAATTGCAGTTCATACTAGAATAAGATCATACTACTAAAACTAAATTTTTTTATTACAAACTACAAACATGGCAGCGAGGAAGACAAACAGTTAAATGGGGCAGCCTTGGTACAAAAAATGTTTCAATAATTGTTAATTAATTGGAAACCAATGGAAAATGTTTATTTCACATTTTAAACGTTATATTTTATCTGCAACAACATTGTAAACGTTTGAAAACTGACATGTTTGGTAATTAACTAGTCAGTGCATCATTATGACAACACCTGAGGAGATTTCTCTTCATGAGAGACCCGGGATTGGCAGATTTACATGCTGTTTCTTATTATGTTAGGTAATTAATTATAAAAAAAATGTAGAGAATGTGACATGATAAAAGTGCACAGAACTAAGCAATAACATCTTGGTTAATGGCGTCAATAATTTTTCCCAAGGATCGACAACTCTTCTGTTCACACTACAAGTATGTATTTTCCTTCACAAAAACATTACACCATTTTATGTCATAACTAAAAAATTTAATCAAGACTCAGTAAAAGCTTCAAACCTTCTCTTGGTAGAGTTTGTGTAACCAATCGGCGCACTCTTTTTCATCGTCAGGAATCTCCTCAACAGAGAAGCGCCTGTAAACAGAACAGTGACGCTTCATAAGTGCAGCACAATACACTCCAATAGAGGGCGCCATAACTGCATGCAGAACAGCAGGGGGAAAGCTTAACCAGGTACAAATCCTATTAGTCACAACCTTAATCCAAATATTTCAGGAAAATCTCAGGTCAGCAGTAAGATGCACAACATTCCTAAAATGTGACAGTTTAATGTTAACTGGACAGTCTAAAATGTGTATGATGATCTATTTATTTTCAAATGATATTGTAATTTATTATATACAGTGATATCAGTGAACTGGGAGACTCACCTGACACTCAAGTCTGCTTTGTACTTCTTCCCATTGACAATCCCCAACAGAGTCGGGTTTTGTTTGTCTTTGAAGTTCAGCGTGACATCATAGACTGCTTTTACTGTTGAAATAGAACAGACAATTCTATCTTTAGAATGTGATATAACGGAATTAGTTTATTTAAAAGAATAATTCCCATATGAATAAATATATATAATATGAAATTATAGTAAATGCTAGTGCTTTTAAACCATGCTATATCAAAGTGTATTATACTGTATATATTACTGTTAATAAATGTCACTGTTAATGTTGTTAGTGTTGATAAATTCTACAGCAGTGTAGTATTAACACTAAACTGATATACTGTAATAAATAGTGTAGTATATATAGTAGTTTCTACTATATACACTACTTGACTAAAGTCTTGTTACCCATTTAGGTTTAAGGAACAATTAATAACTTCTAGTTGACCATTTGGTATCAGAAGTGGCTTATATGAAAGGCAAAGGTCTCTAGATTATGCTTATTTTACCAAAATAAAATATAATCATGCCTGCAATTTTCAATGATTTAATTAGGACAATATGGTCTGACTTTGCTTACACAAAAATCTTGTCATTTAACAGAAATAATGTACAGTATAGAATATAAAGTCATGCTGCAGTAGAAAAGAATGAATCCCATGAGCTTTGAGGACTGCATCCACACATCTCTGCAGTGACTCAAATAACGTAATAATAAAAACATCTGGATGGCAAAGAAAGTGTTCTTGCAGGACTCCCAGAGTTCATCAAGAGTCTTTGGATTCATCTTCAATGCCTCCAACTTCAACTTACCCCAGACATGCTCAATAATGTACATTTCTGGTGACTGGGCTGGCCAATCCTGGAGCACCTTGACCTTCTTTGCTTTCAGGAAATTTAATGCGAAGGCTGAAGTATGAGAACAAGAACCATCCTGCTGAAGAATTTGCCCTCTCCTGTGGTTTGTAATGTAATGGGCAGCAAAAATGTTTTGATACCTCAGGCTGTTTATGTTGCCATCCACTCTGCAGATCTCTCGCACGACCCCAACTAAATGTAACCCCAAACCATGATTTATCCTTCACCAAACTTGACTGATTTCTGTGAGAATCTTGAGTCCATGCTGGTTCTAATAGGTCTTCTGCAGTATTTGTGATGCAATTCAACAGATGATTCATTAGAAAAATCTACCTTCTGACACTTTTTCAAATGATCAACCAGAAGTCTAATTATTATTTGTTGCTCTTACAACTAGGATCGACGACAAGACATTTGTCAGGTAGTGTATAATATAATATACCATATAGTTTTAGACAACATAGTACAGTACTAGATATTTTGTTTAGATGAACAGTTAAATTACGACAGCAACTACAGAATTACCGCAACAGAATAACTATTAATTAAGTTTTTTTTTTTTTACTATAAAATGGTTTAAAACCATGATGTACTATAGTATATTTTCATACAAGTTTACACACACACACAATTATGAAAAAAAATTGATAATTAAAAAAAAATATTTCCACATTTTCATGATGTTTGTCCTCATGCATACAAACAGCGTCAAAGTCACCAAACAGTAAATATTTATTAATATGTATTATTTTGACCAGTGGCAATTTTCTAGAAAAAGATGCTTTAATTTGCAGGAATTGTTATCAAACTTTTAAAGAATAAATCAAATATCAAATATTAACATTAACAATAACATCTTAAACACACACACTAAATAAACACACATAAGAATAAACACAAAAAAATCTGACTGAACTATCTCCACTTTTCCTTCACAAAAAACAATTTAACTTCATGGGCCTGTGAATTAATTAAATGCATGGACGCTTTTTTAATAGTTTACTGTAATTGCATAGACAAGTATGACCAGCGCAAATCTCACGTTATAAAGAACGTGAGAAATTATCTCACGTTAGAAAGAAGAACGAAAGTAAAGCCAACTTGGAACACATAATAGCAGGCAAATGACGATAATTTGTTTGTGGATGAACTCTGAAAGCAAATAATGTTTCTAGTGTAATTACAGATTCAGAGCAGCAGATATTATTCAAGACAGGATAAGAGGGGCCGAAGCTCAGCAGAGTATGAATTGAGGGCAATTGGTATGAAAATCATGATGATGAAAAGCAGCACAGCGTGTCTGCACACATTCACAATGCTCCATCTGCAGTCAACTCAAGTCTGCGGGTGCATCTCAGTCACCTCATTAGAGGAAACAACAATCTTGAAACAAGTCATTTGCAAGTGACGCCCTGCAAAAGTAATTACTGAAGAATAGCCTCACTGAACAGAAACAAAACACTTGACATGAATCTAATAGCTTGTTAAAGAGAAAAAATTAATAAAATTAGTTTGATAAATAAATGCATTTTTTGAGCAAGTATGAATTAAACTAAATATTTTAAAGACTTTAGTGTTACAAAAGATTTTGGTTTGGAATAAATGTTGTTTTAAGTATGTTTTTATCCATCCGGCTATGGTGATTTTGATGTTTATACATTGTTTGCTTACTTTACCACAGTTAAATTGGATAATTTGTCAAACAGTCATATTTTTTACTTTTTCCTAAAGCAACAGAAACACTTTTCAATCAGAACTGTATGCACTGCTCAAAAAAATGGAACCATGAGTATGTGACTCAATGTAGTATAGGGTCCCACTTTATATTAAGTGGCCTTAACTAATATGTACTTACACATGAATTAATAGTTTGTTACAATGTACTTATTTTGTAAATACATGCATTTAGTGTGTACTTATGCTTTATTAAATACCTGTATGTAATTACATCTGTTATTAACTTCTGTAATTACATTTGTAAATACACTGCTGACCGTTCCCTACACCTTAACCCACCCTTAAACCTACCCATACCACCAAACCGGTCTCTAACCCCTAACTCAAGAGCACCACAAGTGTTCTCAAATACTTTATGAACACAGTAAGTACATTGTATTTATTTTTTGATGTAAGTACATAGTAGTTAAGGACACTTATTATAAAGTGGGACCGTAATTGTAGGCCTCCGTCGGTCAGTGTTGACCATGGATGACAGATCCTAATTCTTATCTTGAGGCACGACTGATTGTCTGAGACGGCTTCATAATGCTATTTAAATATCAATAAATAAAGTGTACAAAGTAAACATAACACAATGTAACATTATGGTTACACGAAAAGTGTTTTGAGTGTTAAAACATACACATAAATAAATATAAAGTGTTTATATACACAAAATGAAATTTTCTAACCTTATAAATTTCTTTCGCCTGCTGAAAACAAAGCAAGATATTCTGAAGAATGTTGGGGAAAAAACACCACTGATTACATTTTTAACTACATTTAAATAATATGTCACAAAATATTTCATTCCTGCTGCATTTTTTAAAATCAAATAAATACATTTCTTGATTGACATTATAAGTCTAACAGATCTCAAAGCTCTGAATGGTAGGGGGTATGCCTAAAAATAAAGCCTAAACTCAGTCTATATTTAGGAAGCAGGTGACAGACGGAAGAGTCTCTCGACTCCTGAGGTGCCGAATGCTCTGGGGTTTTTCTTGTGGCAACGATTCAAGAGTATTTTGGGTACATGTGTATTCTAATAAGACATTAGGTATCACCATAACCGCAGGACCATGCTGCACCCTGTTTAGGGTCCCTGACCTTTGCACTTGAATACATGAACATTATTAATGAACAGCAGGATTACGGACATCAACAAAAGCATTTGAAGAGCGTTTAATAGTTTTCTACTGTAAAAAGATCTTTTATTTTTAGGTTTACTCTGGGATGACTGACCATTTTTAAGAAGCAACATAAACACTTTACAATCAAAAATGTATGCACCATAAGCACATGAATAAACGTCAACACAAGACAATCCGATTTAAATATCAATAAATAAAGTGTTTGTAAACATAACACAATGTAACGGGATAGCTTAAGGTTCCACGAGTTAAAGTCTGAAGCTAAAGTACAGTTCACCCAGAAAAGGAAAATTCTGTCATTTACTCATTTTGTTTGAGTTTCTTTCTGCCGAAAAGAGACACAAAGGAAAATAAACTCACTGGCCACTTTATTAGGTACACCTGACCAACTGCCAATCACATGGCAGCAACTCAATGCATTTAGGCATGGAGACATGGTCAAGACGATCTACTGGAGAATGGTTATTTTGAACGTGGCACAGTTGTTGGTACCAGACGGGCTGTTCGAAGTATTTCAGAAACTGCGAATCTGCTAGGATTTTTTATGCATAACCATCGCCAGGGTTTACTGAAAACACATATAAAAGAGAAAATATCCAGTGAGCTGCTGTTCTATGGGCGCAAATGCCTTGTTGATGCTAGAGCTCAGAGGAGAATGGCCAGACTGGTTCCAGCTGATAGAAAGGCAACAGTAAGTCAAATAACCACTCGTTAGAACCGAGGTTTGCAGAAGAGCATCTCTGAACACACAACACGTCCAACCTTGCGGCAAATGGGTGCCACTCCTGTCAGCTAAAAACAGGAAACTGAGGCTACAGTTCGCACAGGCTCAGCAAAATTGGACAATAGAAGACTGGAAAAACATTGCCTGGTCTGATGAGTCTCTATTTCTGCTGCAACATTCAGATGGTAGGGTCAGAATTTGGCTTCAACAACATGAAAGCATGGATCTATCCTGCCTTGTATCAACAGTTCAGGCTGGTGGTGGTGTAATGGTGTGGGGGATATTTTCTTGGCACACGTTGGGCCCATTAGTACCAATGGAGCATCATGTCAATGCCACAGTCTACCTGAGCATTGTTGCTGACCTTTATGACCACAGTGTACCCATCTTCTGATGGCTACTTCCAGCAGGATAAAGTGCCATGTGGTAAAGTGTGAATCATCTGTACTCAAATGGCCTCCACAGTCACCAGATCTCATTCCAATAAAGCACCTTTGGGATGTTGTGGAATGGGAGATTTGTATCATGAATGTGCAGCTGACAAATCTGCAGCAACTGCTATTGTGTCAATTTAGACCAAAATCTTTTTGGATTAAGTCGGTTTTGAGGGCAAAAGGGAGTTCAACCCGATACTAGCAAGGTGTACCTAATAAAGTGGCTGGTGAGTGTATGTTGCCATTGACCTCCATAGTATTTTTTTTGTTTATACTATAAATGCCAATTGCTTTTTTCCCCAACATTTTTCAGAATATCTTGTTTTATGTCATAAAAGAGAAGCACTTGTGTGTGAGTAAATGATCGGTATACTATCTGAAACAAACACTACACCAAATCAAAATGTCTTGGTGTAAACTGTGTGTGACAATGACGGGGTGTGTGCACAAGTGTTTGTCTGACCTGTTCCCTTTAGGCATTGCAGTGTGGTGGTGAATCCTTTGGTGCGGGGCAGGAGGTGGTACTTCAGTTTGGGAAGGCCCTTACTCTCAGCCACCTGCATGCTGATCTGGTGTTTCTTTTCCGTAAATCTCGTTCCTTCACAGTACAACAGGAACTGCCAAACACACACACACACACACACACACACACACACACACACACACACACACACACACACACACACACACACACACACACACACACACACACAAACACACAAACACACAAACACAAACACACACACACACACACACACACACACACACACAAACACACACACAAACACACACACACACAAACACACACACAAACACACACACAAACACACACACACACGAGAGGATTGTAACTCTCAGGTCAGTGTTAAACAGAGTAATCCTATCACTTTGTAATCTCTGGCTCTTGTTGCCAACGGAAACTTCCAATCGGACCATGGTATAAGTGACCTCGCAGGTGGAGTTACGTGGCCGTCCAGTAACACTGACCCACATCCAAATAAAATAAAAATAGAATAAATCATTATATATAAACTCACTAAACTCCATTTTCCAAACAACATTTTGGCTGCATCTGAAATAGCATACTTTCCTAGTAGGCTGAGAGCAGTATGTGAAAAGAATAGTACATCCATATTCATAGCGAGCATAAAAAAGTAGGAAACATGTACCCTGACAGATGATATGAATATGTATATGAGGATAACTTAATCTTACTATCCCATGAGATCACACAAAAATGACAATATGCAGTACAGAGAATGTGCTCACTACACTCATACTAAACTTAATATTTAAAGAAATATTGTCCCCTTGTGAACAGAAAAAGGCCATAAATAATTCTATCAGGAGTATACAGGTTCCACTAAGGGGGTACTCACACTATGTACAGTTTCCTTGAACGGGGCCGCAACACGCTTTATCCTCATCTCGTCTCCCCCAACGGCCCGCTCTCACATTACATTCGGGCATGGGCACGCTTACGTCATCGATGATGCACTGTTAAGTAAGCGCTCTCACTTAGCACAGTGAAGATTTCTTTATTTATATTGTTTTAGTCGTTTGAGATGCAGTGACATGCAGTCAAATATTACGCCAAACAGATCAACCACTTTTGACGCTCAAAAACAACCATAAAGTCCTCGTCCTGCAGGAATTAGGAGGTTTGCTGAAGGTGCAACTGTCATACAGTGAGGGGTTTGAGTCTCTAATAATCTACGACAGTTTGTGTTCATTGAACGGTAAAAAAGATCAATAATTCCATATGAAACAAGACTGTAAAAGTCACAACTCGTCTTCAGTTTCGGGCTTAGGCGCGCTTTGCACTCACACTATAAGCGTACCGCACCAAAGCCCAAGTGAACCGCGCTCTGAAACACCTCTTCCAACCGGGCCAGAGCCGGCCAAGTAAACCGTGCCTGAGCCCGATTCAGAGCGCTCACACTTCTCAAACGATCCGGGAACGGGCCTGGGCATGGATCGGCTAGCATAATGTGAGTAGGCTCTAAGCTTCATAAAACAAACTCATGCATTTCAAGCAGTCAAAGCGCAACTAAGGCTGCATTTACACTGCATGGTTCAAGTGACTCAATTCCAACTTTTTTCTTATAAATCATGCCATGGACATTACATTAAGATGCCTACTTAAAGAAGATCTAAAAGAAGAGAGCAAAATGAGATATGTTCTGCCATAAGCTAAAGTAAACCAGCTTGTCAAAAAGAATAATAAAAAAAATGAGACCCTGCGAACAGATTAAATACAGAAATGGAGAAAAGAGCACTCTTTTATTATCAGCTGTCAGTGAGTGCCCGCTCTTTTTTTCCTGGTCAATGCACCTTTGCTGTGTGCTGTGTAAATACAGACAATCGGATATGAGTCAGTTTTAAAAGAGGATGTAAGAGAGTCAGCAAAAAAATCCGATACGGTCACAAAATCGGAATTGACCATCAAGATCTGCAGTGTAAATGCAGCCAAAGAAAGCAAAAGTTTTGACTAATACATACACTCTGCTCAAATATTTGTTGTTGGATGATAAATGTGCCATATGTGGACTTTTAAACCTAAAAGTAAGTCTATTTTTACCATAGCAGTAAGTGTAGTTGGGTAATTAAAATGATTCTGTCATAATAATTTGTTTTTTAAAAGAGGTTATTGAAAAGAAAAGATTTCGTTCTTGTTAATGGAGTAGGGAGAATATTCACATTCACACGTTGAAATTTCCGGCAGGTTGCGTTGTTAGCACTCTCTGTGCCTTGTTTAAATGTGTCAATGCAGCTTCATTGTACTGTGTTTGCAGTTTGTGTCACTAAAGAACAGAACAAAAGTAACATCAAGCCTCAAATAAGTATAGGTCTATTAAGAATTTCAACTTAAAACGACTCAAAAACTATATAATAACCTACAAACTACACATAAACTGGAATAATAATAATAATGTACAAGTTAACCAAAATCTGCCTGATCTGAACCATTGAAGAAAGTTTGTGTGAGACTACAGATGTGTGGCCAGTCTGAGGTTAAGCTCAGCCCCCAATTTGACTTCTACAATTCAGCAAATACTTTAATTAAAATTCTGTCATCATTTCCCCATCCTCCACTTGTTCCAGACCTGTTTGAGTTTCTTTCTTCTGTTAAAAACAAAGAATGATGTACTGAAGAATATTGGGAAAAAACAGCCACTGATTTCCACTGTCGTATTTTTTTGTTTCTCCTATGCAAGTCAATGACTTCAACATTCATCATCTATAATCTTCAGTATATCTTATTCAACAGAAGAAAGACATTCATAAAGGTTTAGAGCCACTTTCAAATTTTGGGTAAACTATCCCTTTAAGTCACAGCTACATCATCTGAAGATAATCCTAGTGGGTAAGTGTACTCACCCACATGTATTCTGGATAATCTCTGAGACGGCTGAGTCCACTGAAGACAGTGTCTCTATCCTCCTCCCACTTCCTCTTGCAGAAGACTATTTCCAGGAAATACCACGTCCAGCCAATCAGAGGCACTTTCAGCAGTTCATGCTTTGCCAGAACCTTTGAACTCTGGATAAGAAGAAAAATCAAGATAAAACAAAAATAGCAAATGCAAAAAAAAAAAAAAACAACAACAAAAAAGTATTTGACGTCAGTGATTAAGAAGAATTTAAATCATCCCCTCAACCAATACAACTAAATTACAATTGTATCATTTAAACTATAAAATGTGCTAGTGTGTATTTTCATGCAACCAATGTTAGTTGTTTTAGTTACTAGTATGTATTCGCTTACTAGCCATTGTAAGCACTTATTGTTTGGGTTCTAATGCTTATTATTTAAGACACTGGTACAATATTTGTAAATACTAGTAAACATTAGAGACTTTATTAGATTTATTAGAGACTTTATTAGCAAATATCAGAGTACTCATTTATTAGACACTACTTGTTTGGTAGATACAAATACCAATTAAAAATACATTAGTATTTAGATGCTAGTACTTATTAGTGGTGTAATGGATCACAAATCTCAAGGTTCGAAACACATTATGTTTTTTTAGACACAAATCGGACCAATTTCCGGATCAATCAAAAAGGGGAGGAGACAAATGTCACTTGAATTCCATTTACTACAAAAACGAATTTAAAAAATATTAAAAATGAAACGAAAAAATGATAATTTGAATAAAATTAAATATTAAAATATGCAGTACTGTGAAAAATTCACTGTTACTACTGCTGCTGATAACGCTAAATGTATAAAGATAACATTATAATTTGTCTCATTTGATCTCATTTTCAACAAATGATTCAGTTATTCCCTCAGAAAACTTCATGTTTCATTGCTAGATGATCATTTTTGAAGATTTATCCAGTGGCATATTTCTAATGGCTGATTGTCACCGCCTATTGGTTAAATACTGTAATTGCTGCCTACAACTTTCATTTTTGAGCATTGTTAAATGCATATGACTGTGATTTTAATCTTTACCATAAACATCAGTGCATGGTCTTATCTACACGTCTTTGTTATTTGACTGTTTGTAACTCAAAAGACTAAAGACTAAATCTCTTTCTTGATTTTTGCATTTTTCAAACACAGATTTGAATGCAGCGTTTCAAAGGATTAACAAACATATGCAATTCCCCATCATTTATAATTTATGTTGCGTGGGTGTTGAGATCCTGATCTTTTAACGATTAATCAGGCCGCTTACACTGAATGCATAAATACAGACTAAATACGTAGTGACAGAAAACACCTTTAATTACCCAAGAAACCCACCACATCCTGAATAACCTACCACAACTTCTTCCGTCACCATTATTTTACAAGAAATGCTTTCATACATGTGTTTTGAATGACGCGAGAGGCGATCTCTCTGTGATCAAATTTAGGATTATTCTACAAATAAAAAAATCCGCGGGCCACATGTGTTCCAAACAGCGGGTTGTGATATGAATTACGAATCAACCGTGATCCTTTACACCCCTTGAACTTATTGAATAACTGCTACTATTTATTCAACAGATCATAAATGCATTTATTAGATACTAAAACATATTCTAATTATATCCAGTAAGTTTTTTTAATTGATCTGTAAAAACTAATCATAACACGGGATTACTAAAGATACTAGTTTCCATTAAATACTAGTACCTAATATAAAAAAAAACAATTGTAAGTTTTACACAGGGACATGTAATACGCACTTGTATTCATTGAATAGGGACACGTGTGTAATTAATACATACATAATGCATACTAGCATCTAATGGCTAAATGCTAGAATTATAAATATAAATACCTATTTTATAGATACAAGTATCTAAATTTGAATCATTATGAAATATCTACAATACTAAATTATAAATTATGATCTAATACAAAATTATGACCTAAATACTAAAAGAAACTTGTAAATACAGACATATACTAACAACAAAACAGTTAGTACTAGTGACTAATGACACATTTAATAGGTGCACTAATGAATACTTGCAGAATCTACTGAATATGTGCTTTCATCTAATAACAAATATTAGAATATAATGAATGGTCACTTGCATCTGTTTAATAGGCACTGTTCCTTCATGTTGTACCAACACAAATCGATTACGTTAACGTAATTGTTTTAACAAGTTTAAGTGGACTGAACATAAAACAATTAGGTTCTCCCAACAGAATTCAAGAACTCAACTCATTTCAAATAAGTCATTTGAACAAGCAGCAAAAATTGTTTCTTTGAGTGTAGTTTCTAATAAATGTTTTTAAAAGTATAACTTTTAGTAAAAGTATCATTTAAAAAGATAGTAGTACCCAAGGAATAAACACCATGTAAGCAAATGAAATAGGTAGTATCTATAGATAAATGTTATGTAATAAATGTAGTTGATCGATGGATTATTATTTTATTTTGTTATTATTTTTTATTTTGAGACACAGGCCTACACAACTTTCACACCGTCCTTCACAACTTCTCACTCAGTTTCATCTCTTCACTGCTCATCGGGACTCACCCCCAGCACGCCGTATCTCTCACAGATGGTCCAGCCACACAGAAAGTCCACCTCGAAGTTGTGGTTGAGGATGATGATGACATGCTCTTTACCAAATTTATCCACCGTGGCCTGATCGGTGTACAGCGTGCACTCAGTGCCAGACCACCACTCCAACAACATCACTAACTCTAATATAAAGATAAAAGAGAGAAAACACACACAGAAATAATGCACGTCAAGAAGGTTTTATAATAGTAATATTATGACAAGAGCCATGACAAATGTTGCCTCCATTGGATAAATTGCTAAATTAATAAACCCAAATATTCAAATACATTTGAATTAGGTGGTGAATTAGATGGTCAAAAGGATGCATTAGAAAATAATTCTCTTGGATATTTAATTTTGATTGTACTGCTAAACGGTCATTCGGATGAGACGTTAAACCGAGATACTGACTCTCTGTGGTTATTTAAAAACCATGGCATTTATCGTAAAAAGTAGGGGTGTAACCCCGTTGTCCTGGCCAAATTGCCTCCATCGGCCCTTTCCCATCATGGCCTCCAAATCATCCCCATCCACCAAATTGGCTCTACTACGATCTCTCAATTTCACCTACAGCTGGTGTGTGATGAGTGCACTGGCGCTCTTGTCCTGTGCATGCCGTCGCATCATCCAAGTGGATGCTGCACACTGGTGGTGGTGTGGAGAGACCCCTCTCATGATTATGAAGCGCTTTGGGTGTATGGCTTTACACAATAAATTCACTATATAAATACACACATTACATTACATAAATCAGATACTACTAAATAATATTCCATTTTACGATATACATATTTTTTAAATTCAGTGTATAAACATTATATCCTATTAAATAAAAATAAATCAACAGAAATTTTATTTACCAAGTAGGAAAAAAAAAAGTCAAGAACAAATTTTCTTTTTAGATTATTTTTACATTACATTATAGTTCTTCTAAAACCACTTTTCAAGATATTTTTTTTTATTATTGTTAAAAAGTCATTTAAATATAAAGTAAATGCTTATGGAGTAATTTGCAAAACCAGACTAGAACAAACACCATAAAGTCTCATAAAATTTGCATCATATCAATTGTGGAGTTAGCCTGTTCTCCAGTGTCCCACTCTGTTCAATTCATGACCACATCTAGGGCTGGGTGATTAATCGTAGGTGATATTCATTCACATTTCGACAGTAAGACCAGTGCTATAAACCTCCAGTGCATGCTTACAGATGGAGCAAGATTTAATACACAAAACAGTAATTCACTAGTAACTCAATTCACAAGCTATTGGACGATACTGACATTTAGATGACAATCGTTTTGTGATAACGACCACTGTTTGACTCTGTAGTTTGCTGCAAGTGAAATTACCCCATTAAGTAACATGTTTTTTAGTCCAAACTTACTTCAAGTCGAGTGTAGAATCATTCCACGAGATGATTCTATAGTTGTGTTCGTTAGTCACACTGAAATAATGAAGGGCGACGCAGTGGGTAGCACGTTCGCCTCACAGCAAGAAGGTCGCTGGATCGATCCCCGGCTCAGTTGGCGTTTCTGTGTGGAGTTTGCATGTTCTCCCTGCATTCGCGTGGGTTTCCTCCGGGTGCTCCGGTTTCCCCCACAGTCCAAAGACATGCGGTATATCCGTAGTGTATGAGTGTGTGTGTGTGTGTGTGTATATGTGTGTATGTTTCCCAGAGATGGGTTGCGGCTGGAAGGGCATAGAACGCTGCGTTAAAAAGGTGCTGGATAAGTTGGTGGTTCATTCCGCTGTGGCGACCACAAATGGCACACTAATGTTTTTTCTACTAAGTGGAAATTCAAACCGTTTTCCTGATGACGTTTGACGGTTGCCAAATCAGTGAAATAAACGACTGAATTATCAAATAATACCTGCCGTGAGTATTGCCGCATTCACCATCGGGAAGCACTATAATCACTCTCATTGGAGAATTTAGCTTTCACCATCCAAAATAAATAAAATTATTCAACATGTGCGTCCGATAGCTACGCCCCTTCCGCTACGTAAGCAAACCTGCGGTCGTTGAGTGCGTGAAGTGTCGATCATTACACACTTCTTTTAGCGGCTAAATGAGTACATCATCCGGGTAATTAAAGTGCACTTATGATTTTTAGAGTTTTCAGTGTGAACACACTACTTACACTATTTGTACTACAAAATGGCGTAGAATAGTGCATAAGTATGCGATTTGGGACGCAGCTTATAAGAATTTCCTGGGTTTCTTCATCGTTGGTGTTTGGAGTATATCCAGAGTGCCCTCTGGTGATCAGACGAGATTTACTACAGATCACACAACTGTACTTCCCTGACAAGATATGCATGACTATCATGGGCGTTTTCGATTTCATTTCGATTAAACACCTAGCCTTAACAACAACAAATAATAATAATAACAATAATAATAATTCCTTACTTTTATATAGTGCCACCTAGATGACACAACGGTAGCCATACTGCACTAGCTGATTGGTGGAGAGAAGACGGAGTGATGAAGCCAATTATGATATGGGGATGGTTTAGAAGCTATGACTGACAGAGGCAAGTGTGCAAATTTGGCCAAGATGCTGGGGTTCTCTACTCTTTTCGAAGGACAACGTTATTTTTAACGACCACCTCGGTTTAACGTCTCATCTAAAAGATGGCAGTCACTAAGCAGTATAGAGTCCCCTTCACTATGGGCATTAGGACCCACACAGACCACAGGTTGAGCTGGCCGCTGGCCTTACCAACACCACTTCCGGTGGCAACTTACTAACCAGGCTCAGCCCTGTTAGCTTCAGTGGTTGACCATGTGAGAGTTGCAGAGAGCTAGCTGCCAGCTACATTAAGCTTCTTTGCATGACATTAAACCTGATCTCACAATCAAAGTAAACACAAGGTACCGGATCTGCTGGTTTGTAATAACATAAGCAAACACACAAAAGAACTCACGGCTCCATAGCGAGTAGGAGAGTCTGGTGTTGATTCTGCGGTACAGCTGTTTGTCGAAGGGCCACAGCACGCAGGTGCAGAGCTGGGTGAAGTTGATGATCAGGCCGCTCACCACAAACACAAAGCCAATCAAGAGCTGCAGGACGAACAGACTCTTCAGCCACGCCACCAAACCCATGACTGAGAGCCCCTTCCACACACACACTCACACTCACACACACACACACACACACACTCACACTGCTGGAAGAGAGGAGAGATGGCAGATTTAGACATACTGAAAAAATGATTAGGCAGCAACACACAGACTCTGACTCCTGCATATTTGTATTATTATGGATTATTTACATTAGTCAAACCTTTTCAAGACAAAATGAAGTGATCAAAATATAATAAGATATATTCATGTGTAAATCAGGCTGACTCACACATATCTGTCTATCTGTCTATCTGTCTATCTATCTATCTATCTATCTATCTATCTATCTATCTATCTATCTATCTATCTATCTATCTATCTATCTATCTATCTATCTATCTATCTATCTATCTATCTATCACTTTACTGTTCTATCCATCCATCCATCCATCCATCCGCCACTTTATTGTTTTATCTATCCATCCATCCATCCATCCATCTATCCATCTATCCATCTATCTATCTACCTACCTATCTATCTATCACTTTACTGTTCCATCCATCTATCCGTCACTTTATTGTTTTATCCATCCATCCATCCATCCATCCATCCATCCATCCATCCATTGTTCTATCCATCCATCCATCCATCCATCCATCCATCCATCCATCCATCCATCCATCCATCTATCTATCTATCTATCTATCTATCTATCTATCTATCTATCTATCTATCTATCTATCTATCTATCTATCTATCACTTTACTGTTCTATCAATCCATCCATCCATCCATCACTTTATTGTTCTATCCACTATCCATCCATCCACATGCATTTGTTTGCAGTATGCTTTAGTAATTAGGCTCAGAACAGTTCATATCTTATACATAGTCAGTTATCAGCTTCCAAATACTAAGAGTTGTCAGTCATCAGCAAAAACATCCGTACTGATGCATGAAGTTTAAGACATTCTAGAAGCTTATAATTCATGCACAGAAGGTGCAAAGGTGTGAAGAAACTTGTAAAAATCACACAGGAGAGAAAGCAGTCAGTTAACTGTTCCATGTGGTACAGCAAATTTTCAAACTCAAAGTAGAACTAATACAAAGATCATATTAAACACTTAAAAATGCACCAGACTTTTTTTGCCAGATTTACATTTTATCGAGTGATATATTTTAGTCGTTTAGGATTTGTTTAAATCGCTCAATGGTTTTTATCTCATTCTCGTCAACCCAACATCATAAATCATCTAATGTGCAAAGTGTCCTGTCACACCCCAAACACTGGGTAAAAAATATCCAGAGCTAATCACTGTCATTGATCTATGTTTTATTGCACACTCTATTGATTATTTACTATTGATTATAGTCCAGCCTTACTTCAAATCGTGACATATATGGTGATGTAGATAATAAGTCAATTCATACTAATTCAGATCTTTTGATGACGGACTTCACTTTTATTGTCATTCCTTTTAGATAGCGTTCTTGCTTTTAGCATTATTTCACTGGCAAACACAGTTGGTCATTTAGTACTATATTTACAGTCACACTTTAAAATAAAATTACATTAGGTAATGTATTTACTGACATGAAGTAACATTAACCAATTAGTAAGTAAACATATCAACACAACCTTATTTCATGAATGCAATATCAAAGTTACAAACATTACACCACTACAAGAGTTTGCATGAGTACCACAGACTGAGAATATATATGCACCAGTTGATCCACATGCATTACAAAAGCATAGTCAAGATATCTACATCAGGATATTTAACTTACCACAGCGGGCTCTTCTCTACAACCCTCTTTTACACGGCCCTTCACTTAGTACCACCGACCTGAAAGAAAAGAAGACGGAGCACGTTTAGAAAAATCCCGAAAGCTTCACTCGTGAATGCAACCGTCACCAACAGCAAGTCCCGTTTATTTTTACTTCCTCATCCTGTTCCAAAGATACGAAGCTTCACTGTGAAGTAGGCGAGAGTTCATGACCACAGACCCTCAGGCACCCAAAATTCCACATTCACTAGTACAGACTGCACATGCAACAGCAAATACGCACACAAACACAAGCGCAACCCTCTCACCCAGTTGGAGGAAATCCAGCCACCTTCTCCAATTTCTCTCTCTCATACTGTGCCACTGCTGTATCTCTCAGTCTATTATAACAAGGGAGTCTCTCGATGTGACTTAGCATGTACAAATGTCCTACTCTGAGCTCAACGATATCACATAAACATTCTCATTGGATTCAAAGGTCTCCAGTTTCAAATCGATTCTGAAAGCTTATCGAGCTTTAATCTCCCGGCACGGCTTAATCCGATAACAAGACAACAACCGCGAGCGAAAGCACTGGATTAATATCAGATATTCCAACAAAATGGGCGTTTCAGCAAATGCATTTGCCAAATAATCTTTTAAAGCAGCGCTTAACCAAATAGAAAGAGAGGATTGCATGAAACCCTGTCTCTATTTTCCTTCCAGGTTTATCTGATGTTGCAGAATGGCTTAAGCTGGCCGTCTGATAACCGATTAATAATACAGTTTCCACTGTTACCATGTGCCTGCTCTGATAACAAAATTCAGTTGAGTCAACTACCCTATTATGCCAACTAACATCATTTCAAAGTGCAAAGCTGTTGTGTGGAATAGATTCCTTTGGCCCGATGGTTCATGCAAGGTTCAATGTTATTGGAAAGCTTAGTATATTGTCTATTGTGAATATACATTCACCAGCCACTTTATTAGGTACACCTTACTATTACCGAGTCGGACCCGCTTTTGCCTTCAGAACTGCCTAATGCTTTGTGACATAGATTCATCAAGGTAGTGGACATATCCCTTTAGAGATATTAACATGATAGATATTAACATGAGCAGATTTGTCAGCTGCACCTCCATAATGCAAATCTCACGTTCCAACCCATACTAAAGGTGCTCTATTGGACTGAGATCTGATGACTGTGGAGGCCATTTGAGTACAGTAAATTCCTTGTCATGTTCAAGAAAACAGTCTAAGATGCTTCGTGCTTTGGAGACCTGGAGCGTTATCCTGCAGGAAGTAGCCATCAGAAGATAGGTACACTGTGGTCATAAAGAGATGGACATGGTCAGTAACAACACTCAGGTAGGCTGTGCTTAATTGGTACTAATGGGCCCACATGTGCCAAGAAAATATCCCCCATATCATTACACCCCCACCACCTGCCTGAACTGTTGATACAAAGCAGGATGGATCTATGCTTTCATGTTGTTGACGCCAAATTCTGCCCCAACCATCTGAATGTTGCAGCAGAAATCGAGACTCATCAGACCAGACAACATTTTTCCAATTTTCTATTGTCCAATTTTGGTGAGCCTGTGTGAATTGTAGCCTCAGGGGGGTGCATGGGGGGGTTGGTGTTGGACAGCAGGCCAGATTGACCGTCAGGCCACCAGGAAATGTCCAAGTGTTCCCTATGGCCAGTCCGCCCCTGAATGAAAGTCAACTTTAAGGTAACGAGCTATGACGCAGTTCGGCAACAACCAATCAGTTTGTAACTGTCGACTGCTGGAGAGGATTTCAGAGAACAGATCCTGTAATCTTTGGTTTTGACCACAGTTGGTCCCACCAAGGGTTTGATTATTGCGGTCATTGGATTTCCAATTATTTAGTCATTTCTTTCAGGGACATAACAAAAAAAAAGTTGCTGGTGAGTTACTGATGTGCATTAATGTTCTATATTTTGGGAAAAAAGTGGGTATAGGTGGCACAGTAGGTAGTAATGTCGCTTCACAGCAAGAAGGTAGCTGGTTCGAGCCTCGGTTAAGTCAGTTAGCATTTCTGTGTGGAGTTTGCGCTATAGGTGAATTGGGTAAGCTAAATTGTTGTTAGTGTATGTGTGTGATTGAGAATGTATGGGTGTTTCCCAGTGATGGGTTGCAGCTGAAAGGGCACCCACTGTGTAAAACATATGCTGGATAAGTTGGCGGTTCATTCCGTTGTGGCGACCCCTAAATAATAAAGGGACTAAGCCGAAAAGAAAATAAATGAATGGAAAAAAAGCTGGAATCTCATGCCAATTATAACTACAGTACAAAACAGCATTTTTGCTTCAGAATATTTCAAATATATGGGCATATTGAAAAAGTGGAGCAAAGCCACACCACACACTATATCTTCTATAATTAAACAAATTTGGTAAAGGCACACAAAATATTTATGCTAGAAAGCATGTGATTTGTTGGCAGGGCAGCCTGTAGGCGCTCTTGCCCACGGCGTGTAAATGCATATTTAGGGGAACTAAAATAAAGAACCTTTATTTTGAAAAGTGTACAGTTACACAGTTTTCTCACCTTAAACAGAAACTTAATTAGCTACATAAAAGCTAGCCTTTTACATCGACATCACTGTACAGCACTTGTTTGCTTTAATGAATTAGTTCACTTTCTTACTACCTAAAGTAAAGATTCAGTATTGATAACGAAGCTGGTATTGAAGTTGGAATTGACCAAAGACAAAATCCAAAAAGAAAATATTTGTGTCATGGACCAACTAGCCAAAATAGCACTGTCATTTGCAACCACCAAGATGACCTTCAGCAAGTTTTGCACAGACAAGTAACAACTTCTCCCGCAATGTAAAAATTCAGCTAATTTATCTGCTACATACATACGAGCGGACAGAAAGTCAATGATTGCTGGGAATTAGCATATAGCATATCAGTAATTCTGTCAAATATATTTACTGCCATTTTAAACAAACACAAAAGAATCACGATTTCAACACAGGGCAGCAAGTCAATGTTTAAACCTATAAAGAACATTCCTACGCCAACATATTAGCCAAGACAAACACAATGAAAAACAGCACCAACCTTAACTGAAGATCCACAGGCAGTGTGTTAAGTTAAATAAATCTTCCTTCAGTATGAACAGAGACTGATTAAAGAAGGAAAAAGAGAAAGGGTGGGATTGGAAAGAGCTGAACTCTGTCCTCAAAGCCACTACTGCATGAACTGAGGTAAACTTTGGAGTCTTACCAAAGTGTGTGTGTGAGTGTGTGTGTGTGTGTGTATAAGAGAAAAAGACAATGACTCGGAATGCCAATGTGCTTTGAATGCCAACCCCCCCTAAAGACAGTAAGTGGGTTGCACTAGGTGTATATCAGGGGGAATGTGTGTCTGTGCATACTAAAGGATCACCTGATCAACTTGTCAGAGCTAGTCTCAGCCAAAGACATATTTGAGCAATAGCAAACTACTACTGTACTGCATGATCCACCCATCCCACCAATTATTAGCACTTCACACATCAGACAGACTGAATGTGCAACTTGGGTGAGGAAAGTTATTTCCAGACAATTTATCAACAGCTGTTTGGTGATAACTTAAAGTAAAAAATACAGTTTTATGGCCCATTTTCACTGAGTGGTACAGTATGGTACGGGTGACCGTTTCTATTGCCAAAAGGGTACCAACGGCAGTTTGTTCATATTTTAGGTTTCTGAAAGAATCATTTGCTCCTTTGGTTTTTTTTTTGGGCTTCTCATTTGTTTTTGTTTTTTTGTGCTTCACTCTCATGTTTGTCTGTTTCTGAAAGGATTAGATGTCAGAAGCACTTCAATAATCACGTGCACGTTATATCATCAGCTCAAGAAGTTTGTTATTTCAAATATAGATGCACAGTGAGCGCACACAAGCTTTCTAGAGAAAGTGAAGAGAAAGGTTTGTTTGAGCTCAGGCTTGTTATTATATTTATATATTATCACGATGTAATGTCTCGGCTGTTTATTTAAAAATGCCGCCTCCTTTGATTCCATTCTCCGACTTGTGTATGCATGAGTGATGCTTCTCTGTAAACCAATAGCAATCAGCTGCGCGTCTAGCTCCGCCTTCTGGTACTATTTTCTTGTGCAAGGTACCCTTTCGAAAGGATGCCCAAAAAGTGGTACGGTTCGCTTTTTGGTACCTTTTCACAGTTGAAACGGCCATAAAAGCACACCGAACCACACAGCACCATACCACTCAGTGGAAACAGGCCATTAGTCTTCAACAACCAGGTCAAAGCCTATTAATTTATGCATAGTTGTTCTGGTTTAACCAGGGCTTTATTTTTGCCGGAACACGCCAGATCCGGATCCGGCACCCTCCTCAACCGCCCTCCACCGCCGTCCGCTGTTCCCTTTCACTTTCTTTCGCGACTCCCCAACCCTCTTCACTTTCGTCCGTGACAAATCGCCCGATCTTCACTTTCGTCCACGACACCTCTCCGCCAACCTATGCCCCACCATGTCAAAGCTCATTTTATATCAAAGTTGATGTTTAGCTGCATTGGTGTTTCGTAACGTCTAGTTTATTTTATGAGGTGGGTTGTTAGCTCAATGCTCAACCCCCAACCTGGAGGAACAGGACATGCACACATGCACTACGGACAATTTAGCTTACCCAATTCACCTACAGCAAATGTCTTTGGACTGTGGGGGAAACCAAACAACAACACTCAAGACGATTGCTGCCACATGCCAAAAAAACAAAAAAAAACATACATATTTAAAGTTCATATCTTGTTCTTCGTTTATTTTATTGCTAGTGCGAGGAATGCATAGCAATATAAAAAGAGATAGGGTGGAGGATTATAGATGTAGGGATCAACCAGCTTAGGTGGAAACAGCTGTCTGGCCTGCATCACTAGACAGGCTGGGGCCATAGTTTTCAAAATGTGCCTCTAAAAAACGTTAAAAAAAAGTTACATTACAAGTTTGTGGAGTGCCAATGAGTACGGAGAAACTTCGCAGAGTTTTAAATGATATGGAGAAAGAAGTTAGGTTCCACTTGAGATGGTAACCTTTAGCAGTGTGATTTTCAGATACATCTAGTCCAACAGTTTGACTCCCTGAAAAGATTTACAGAGTCTCCAATCCTGCTCCCAGTGAGCTACCATCCTTTAGATTTAAGCTCCAACCCCAATCTACCACTCCTAAACGAGTTAATCAAGGTGTTCAGGGTTAATTGATGTTAATAATAATTGGCAAGTGTGAAGCATGGTGGCACAGTGGGTAGTGTTCTTGCCTCACAGCAAGAAGGTCGCCGTTTTGAGCGCCGGCTGGGTCAGTTGGCATTTCTCTGTGGAGTTTCTCCCCGTGTTTGCATGGGTTTTCTCCGGGTGCCCGGTTTCCCCCACAGGTCCAAAGACATGTGCTATGGTTGAAATGGGTAAGCTAAAATATCCATAGTAGGTGTGTATGTCCTGGTCCCTCAGGTAGGGGGTTGAGCTTTGGGCTAACGACCCACCTCGTAAAAATGAAATGTTATGAAACACCAAGATGGTGCGGCTAAATATGAACTTCAATATAAATCGCCCTGTGAGTAAGAGTAAGTAAGAAGCCTGCAGGATGATAGTCTTCCGAGGTTTGAGCTTGCCTGTTTTCCAGTGATATAAACAGACAAAAATAATGACATTTGAGATGTATGAGATAATATCTGGCCTTTGTTCTAATGACAATTCATCAACAGGTGGTCATCCTAGTGCCCTAATCACATACAAATAAGACAAGGAGTGCAAATAACTACAAACTAAAAAATTAAAGACTTAGGCAAGAGGTCTCTCGCTTGACCTTTCCCTGTGGCCAATCCAATAACCCTTTATATAAGTAGCAGGTGGCCTAATCAATCCACTGTTAATTTGGATGACTATTAGCCAAACTCACCAGTAGGCGTAGTAGGCCACTGCCATGACCACTAACGCCCCACAGACCCCCGTGAAGATCATCACAGCCCCCTGATTCAGCATCTTCGCTTCTGTTGATGGGCCTTCAAAGAAAATCAATTATGTGATTAACTTTCGCTGGTTTGTTTTGAAGAAAAAAAGGCAGTTCAGTTCCTGACAAGCTTGGAGACGAAGGAGTCAAACAGCAAAAAGTGCTCCTAAAAATATTTGGCCCAGAATTCCTTTAAAAAAGTTGCTAGAATCAGTCTCACCCTGGCTAGAGCAACATGCTAATGCTAATCCCAGAGAAGGAGAGCGCCTTTAGGATGATGCAAACAGGAGCAAAGCTTTTTCCCGTTAAAAAAAGATGATGCACGCTAAATCCACGGCACCGAACCACATGAAATGTAAGATATCCACACCAATGCTGATCTTCAACAAGACATTGCTATCGATTATCCTCCCGAAAGCTCAAACTTAGTTGCAGATAGTGAATCCTTAGGTAGATGCATCAGTCTTACAACAAAGCGTGGACATAGTTAAGCCAGAGAGAGCCGTTCTCAGCATCCTTTGTCCCCTCCTCTTCTCTAATCTCCTCTGGATTAGATTACCAATGATTAGCACTCTGGAACAGCACCCTGGATAAGTCACATTGCATTTACATCAACCTCAAGCAAGGCTGGAATGGACAGGATTGAGCTAAGTGGGACAAGACAGTGGTAACTTCCTTTAGCCACCAGGAGGAGCCTTTTAGGCCATCCACCCTTGCACACGAGGCATGATACATTTCGGTATGATTCTGGTGTCTTGTGGGTGTTGTAGCATGGTCAGCAAGCTTCTACATGGCTTTGACGTAGATCTCTTGGTATCCAAGGTCGACCGTGCCCCAAGTCTACTTTAGATGAGGTGGTGATGAAACGATTAGGCAGGTTTTGACCCAAAGCCATGACTGCACAACTGCATTACTGGCAGAAATGAAGAACACAATGCGCCACGGGCCAACACGTCACACAACCGAGTACTTAGAGAGGATCCCTTTTTATATACATCCTGCTTTTCTTGTTCAATTTATCTCATTATTTCCTCTGTCTGCTTTCATTTTGATGTCAGTCTGTCTTTGTTTATGCTATGCTGGTGAACCTTGTATACCTGCATTAAACCCAGCTTCCTCAATTCATCCAATTTCAGAAAGGTCAGCATTACAGCATCCAAGGCATTTATGTGCAATGATGGGGGTTTCTCAAATAAAAGAATCTGTCTTGGTCTCAGTAAATACCTCGACGCTCCTCGATTCCATACACTGGGAAAAAAGGACAAAGAATAATCACCTTTCTGATGGGATGACCACCTAGGAAATTTGAAGATAGCAAGCAGGAAAGGAGTCGAACTAAATAGCGAAAGTGAACAAGATAAATGAAGACCTTGACATTTTGGTAGACAATTGATCAACATCTGAAACTGGGAATAATTATGGTTTCTATTAAATTTGTGTGCTGTGAGTTGATCTTTGGTTGCTGTACTCTAATCAATGGAAACCTGGAAGAGATTAGACATAATATTTAATGCACAATTCAAGTGCATTTTGGCATCTTTTACAGACTTTGCCTGGTAGGGCATATACCATAAAGCACATACAATAGAAGCCATATTAAACCAAAGCAGCTTATTGGAGTCCAAATGAGGTCAAGATGCCTAAATCTATAATCTTATCTGTGTTTTACACCTACAAACAAACAAACACTTCTAAGAATTTTTTCAACAACTGGTGAAAACACATTTCACTTAAAGGACAAGTACACCCAAATATGACATTTCAAGCACACCCATGTTGTTCCTGATTTGTCTGGGTTTCTTTTTTATAAAAAAAAAAAAAAAACTTTTTTAACTACTAAACTGAAGTCAATGCTTCAAAAAGGGGTTTCAATGATCTCCACAGCCATGAAATATGGCGTTAAGTCTACAAAGGTTTCCTCAACGCCAACAAACCAGTGTTTACACTCTTAAGCAAGTCATCCTATGAGCGGCTTAGAAAGTCAAAAGACACAAACCTGTGTACTTAATGTCTTAACGTTAATGAATGAACTACAAATCCCATAATGCACTGCTAACTACAGAATAGTGCAAGGCATGACACTAAACCCAATAAACACATTTATTATGTCACATTTCTTTGGCAAAGACAACATTTCCTGTGATAAGTGGATAAGTCTCTAACGGATATTGGCCTAAATCACTAAGAACTATTTTAAAAACTTTCTTTCATTTTATTTTTTACACATTGATTTTCACCACCGGCACCTACCAAAGCATATACAATCAGTTGTCAAGCTTTTATAAAAATGAATAACAAGTCTTCTGTGCTCCAGTCATCAGGGGGTTTTATTTTACCCTGCAAACACTTGTGTGGTTGGAACATACTGGATAATATAAGGGTATTTTGATCAAAATGAATTTGACACTGCTCTTTCAGTGTTGTTCATTCGCAATATAAACTCGGCCAATAAGGGCATTATTGGCTTGTTTTCATGGTGCAGTACGTTTCGGTACAGTACGGTATGCATTCATTTCCATTTCCCTTGTCAGAAGTAATACAATAGCTAACGGTGTACTGTACCACTTTTTACGAACCCTTTCAAAAGGGTATCTAGCACATCAGTGATGTACCAAAAATATCAAGCTAGATTTGCTGCTGAATGCTATTGGTTTATGTAGAATCATCAGTTGTGCATTCAACAAGCCAGGGGAGCTTGCCTGCATTTACTGCAACATCTGAAATAATAAACATGGGTATTCAAAAGATGCGATATGTGAACGGCCGACAAAGTTTTCTTCTTCAAGAAAGGATGATGTCGCTCACAACTTTGCCATGAACCAGGCCAACTGAATAAAAGAACTGTTGGCAGTGGAATCGCAAGCCTGGAACTGAACTGTAGCGCTCTGTGGAAACATTAATTCAGCACAAGCCGTTGATGTTTAGAAAGTTTCATCTAGGTTTGCACGATACTGGAATTGGATACCAATCGATAATTAAATTTCAAAAACGTCCATTTCTTGCAAACATTTGAGCGCTACTGAGCACGTTCTTAAACAGTGCTGATTTGCCGTTGTGTTCACGTGCTCAACAGAAATGACTGTGATAAGCTGTGAAGGTCATCAGTTCACCGAACTCACTGCTGTTTACTCAGTGTAAACAAAGATACAGGGACACTGAAGTGTCACGGCTGAAGTGAACACGGCAGTGTTCACGGCTTTAAAACACTCCAGTGTCCCTGTATTTGTGGTTACACTGAGTAAACATCGATGAGTTCGGTGAACTGATGACCTTCACAGCCAATCACAGTAATTTCTGTTGAGCATGTGAACCTAATGGCAAATCAGCACTGTTTAAGAACGTGCTCAACAGCGCTAAAATGTTAGTGGGAAATGGACATTTTTTAAATTTCAGTATCGATTGGTACAGAATTCCAGTATCATGACAACTCTAGTTCCATAGTTCCACATAGCCTAAAGACCCAGGTAAACTAACATTCCCAAATGAACCACTGTAACGTAGACTAACCATGTTCCGTACACTTTTCGCTATTCAGTGCACTCAAACGGCCACTCCTCCGTCATTGAAAGGCAGATAAGCATGCTTGTGTGTTCATTCTCTGGGGGAATACCTATTGCACAATCCAAATCTTGATTGATGTCTTTTGGACCAGTAGTTTTTGAGAAAAGATGGGAAAAGTACCGCCTTCGCATGTGTACGGAAGATGATAGGTATTAACGGTGTTCCGTACACGACTAAAATAGTGTTCCGTACAGGGCGCATAACTTTAATTTTCGGCAAAAATGGGCATTGTTTGAAGTCTTATTAAAATCTTATGTCAGAATATACCATTATTGTGTTTAACTTGAAGTTAATGATATATTAAATAACTCTTTTATGAAAGTTTTAAATGAAATAGCTTCAAAAATCATTTACTTTTTATATCATGTTTATTTTATTACAGCATGACCATTTAAAATATTAAAACATTAAATTCATGCACATTGAAGCTAACTTGACTGACCTTTTATGAATATAAACATCATTACTGCAAAAGGAGGATCCAAACAGCGTTTGCAGCCTATCTCTCCGGCGGAGAGTTGCGACATGCTGTATTTACCCACAATTGATGTTTAAACATCCAAATTTCAAGGCATTTATTCAACAAAAGATAAGTTATTTAACAATTTGTGATAACATAATATTCACTTCATAAGAACTGTAATACCGTGTGATGCATAAATTAAATGCAAAAGCATATTGTCGGGGCTTTAAATGTCTCCCCTCCCAGGCGACACTTGCACTTTAAGCTTGCCCACTTTCTATTTTCAAGCGCATTAGGTGGACGTAGCAAACTTACTGATTTTACTCGGAAACATATTGTAGGAATGTCTCTGTTGTTGTTGGGGCTGAAAGAGTGAGAATTTAAGATTACACAGATATATAGCTTGCCTACGACCCATAAGTATTTATTCAGAGATTAACGTTAAAAGGTCATCTGTACGGAACATCGTTGTGTACGGAATATGGTTAGTCTACGTTATATTGATTCAGGTTAAGTCTGGGAGTTAGTTCAGTGTTAGTATCTTGGTATTACTAAATGTAATTACCGTTTCGTAAAAGGAGGAATAAAGTAATGTGATGAAATTACAACTGTGGCCAATTTGGGCATCCATGTATAATCTTTTATTCATTCAAGTTTCAGGTTACACTAGTGACTGGGTCTCTCATACGAATCTCTGATGTCAAGAAATAGATGAAAACCTCACTATTGCACTTGAATAACTGGTAGATCCAAGCACTTTTAGCCTGAAATGTTTAAATTGTAAAGTTACTGCCGTATCCTTCCCAATTCAAAGCACTTTAGTAGCTTTTCTTAAGGCCTTTTCCAGCATTGTGGTCTACAAAACAGCAAATCAACAACATTTGGATGAAACCCCAGATGTATTCAGTTGGGTTGCTGTGATCTTGATTTCTATGACAACCCAACTGAAGTAAACATGGCATTTGACATTCACATTATTATTCTCACCACTGATCTGCTTACAGTGTTTGATGGCATTTCTATCATTTGCACTACTTTCACAATCTCATCCCAAACCTCCCAAGTTCAACCCTGACGAGCCTGAAATAGATGAGCGGCCAACACAAACAACCTAGCAAGCATTTTTTGTTTTTAAAAGATGTCTAAAAGACGTCTTAACAAGTCATCTTGGCTAAAGCAAGGCTAAATTTGGGCTGTCAGTGAAAATCTAATAGACGTCTAAGAATAGGCAAAACTAGACTAGTCATCAAATAAACAGAAATGAATGACTACACATATAAAGTCTGTCTAATCTGTCTATTTGATGACTAGTCTAGTTTTGGGCTATTCTTACATGTCTATTAAGATTTTCACTGACAGCCCAAGTTTAGCCTCGCTTTTAGCCAAGCTGTCTACGTTTAGATGTCTATTAGACGTCTATTAAACACGAAAATTTTTGCTGGAAAACTCCCGGGGGTGAAACAAACGATTTCAAAGCCA